CATAGTTAGCATGGTGATATAGCAGGCCAAAAGACAGTCGCTGTCATGATGCTAAAAATTCTGACTTAAGGCTCAACATACCTGGCTAACCTGTTGACAGTACACCCCTCTGGCCTCGGGATCCCCCAGGAGGAACTGAAAACAGTGCTGAGGACAGGGACGTCCAGAATGAGCTGCTTAACCTGCTGCCACCCCGACCTGACTCTGGATAAAATGGAAGAAAATGGATGGATGGAAGTTACAGAGCACATGCAGTCATGCTTCAATAGATAGAAAGTTAAAACAGTACAAATAAAGCTGTTGAAAAAAGAAGTCATTTTCATGTTTTCGAACTCCTAAAACTAAAGCCATTTATCAAATTGTTGAGGACAAAAACTAACTGCATAGAAAAATACAACTATAGATAAGAGAGAGGTTATTTTTTTCTGGAAACAACCTCTTAAATCCCAGAATTAAACCACCAAAAGCATAGTCAGGGAAAGTAGAACGAGTAAGAACAATCGAAACGTCACAGCTGTCAAGCAAAAACACTTTATTTACAATCTGTAGTACATTGGCAGTGTGGAGCAAAACACTGACTACAGTTTGATTTTAGGGTTATTTTAAGCTCATAAGAACAAAAAAGTACATCTGTGTGCAGTTTGAGTTCAGATGAAGACGTTGGTGCAGAAAACACTCGTGCAGTGTTTGAACATGGGGGGAGGTAGCTGTTGCAGCGTGCATCTGCAACCTCAGCGTCTTCTGTCATCTGACTTTGAAGTCCAGTCTCAATTATTAAACTTTCCACTCCAGTATCTCGGCCTCCCGCCTTCGTCTTTACGTGGCTTCCCGTCTTCACGCCTTCTCGTGGAGCGAAGCACACCAGGATCCAAAACTCGACTCCACAGCGTCATCACTTCTGGTCCGCAGGTTGTCCTTCTCCTTTTTCAATCTTTCTCCTTGAAGCTGAAGTCACAAACCAGCGAGAGATGATCAGATGGATAGCTGAAAGACGGGAGCCTGTTTGGCCCGATCTCCTCCTCAGTGGGCATGTCCAGAACCGCGTCCACTCTCAGCGTGTCCCGACTGTACCAGATGTAGTCCAGGGTGGAGCAACACTCCCCCGTCGGCCGAATCTTCCACGTCGTGTACTCCGGCTCCGTCAAACCGTCTTGGCTGAGTTTCTTGTAGGCCGAGTCCAAACCGAGAGGGGACGTGGAGAAACGTCGGTACACCTCCTCTGTTGGCACTGCGTTGAAATCTCCACATATGAGCAGAGGAATGTCGGTGTTGGTGTCACCTGCAGGTCCACCGGCGTGTTTCTGGACTAGGTTCTGCAGGTGGCGAAGGAGGTCCGAACCCTGAGCGCTGCGGAGCCACTCCCAGCCAGAGCGAGCCTTCAGGTGGGTCACGGCCACGCACAGACACCTCCCCGTGGTCCGACATCGCAGAGTGGTCACTACGGCAACCTGTGGTGAGAGAGCGTCCGGTTAAAGGTGCATCTGAGCAGATTTTTATGTGAGAACTGTGTGAAATTTTACCCACTTGATTGGTCGGGATCCTCATGGCAGAGAGTCGAATGTTGACGCTGTCCAGGAGCTCAAACCGCGACTGGTCGAAGAACAGCGCGCAGCCATCGGGGCCGTTGTTGCCCTCCACGTCCAGGCAGGGGGACCAGGGTTTGGGGCAGAAGTGGCTGCTGTAGCCCAAACCTGCCAGGACTGGCTGGAAGGTGTCATAGTAGTGGTCGACTTCCTGCAGACACAGGATGTGAGGTCGGTAGGTGAGGATCTCCTCCAAGATGAGGTACTTTCTTCGGGACCAGCTGAGGGCCTCCAGGGGACACTGGACAAAACTGTCAAGTCCTTCGCCCAGAGCTGAAGGACAGGAGAAAGAGGGAGATCTGACATGAGTATATTTAAAGTAACACGAGCTATGCAGCTAAATGCTAATGAGCCACCACTGCTGAAGAGGCTGTCGGGCCACGGAAACACCAAGACAGGAACAATGAAGATGATCTGTTGCATTGGGCACCAGGATGTTAGCAGCAGATCCTTTGAATCTTGTGAAGCTGCACAAGCTGCTGCAGATCAGATTTATTCCAACACCTTGGACGTGAGTTCCTCCTTGAACACCCTGTGGAAGACACTAAACTGCTCGCTGCGTGTTTTATGGATGTCGTCTGGACATAACTACAGCTTTGGAAATATTAATTAGGCCCCCTGTTTTTTTTCTTTTTAACATTTTATCATAACAGGTAAATAATTCCAGCATCTTCTAAAGGACATGGAAAAAGTCTCATCATTTATTTTAAGTTTAAAAATCAGATGTAGTGAGTTTGTAAAAGTGTCAAAGTTCACATTAGATGGCATTTTGGAGTCTGAAGTATTTTGTGCATTAGCTTTATGTGAAACTGATAATATAAACTAAATTATTGCTCAACCACGCCGAAGAATGATGATGACGATCTGGGTGGTTAATGAAGAGCGATGCAGTCAGAGAGCTGCGACTAACAGGCTTGGATTTAACAACACAGCGTCCATTATAAACTTAAGAAGAGGCTGAAAATGCTGGTCGTCCTAATAGTTCTTTCCAAAGCCTTTCCAAAGTCCATCAGCTCTTCTACTTCCTGTACAAACATGTCCCATGAGCCCTACACTTTTAAACAACCTGCTGTTGTTGAACTAATAATGATAATAATTAAATAAATCACACATTTGTTGAGGTGGTGTTTTCAAAGCAGTATTTACAGTTTTTTCTTGTCCACTTGGGGGCAGCAGGAGAAGGTGTGAATCATAGACTGTGTAAGTTACTGACGTTACATCCACGTCGTGATGTGTCGCAAACATGTTGCGCCATCGATGAATCACATCGATTGCGATTCTCACATCGCAAGTGCTTCTGCTGCTAACGTCTGTCCACTGTTTCCTTTAAAATGGTTTTCAACAATTGGATATTTTATTATATGTTTGGTTCATATATTGAATTTATGTTTAGTTTTTCCTCATTAAGAGCAAGACAAAGCACTAAAACAATACAGGCCTTCACAATCTTGCGTTCATTTATTGACATGATTTCATTACAGCCTTCTGTGGGGTTTTTTGCTGTGACTCCATAGCACACATGTGACCTCCACTTTGCCCTTTAACCCTCTGAACCCCAAGCAGTTTCTGGATGTTTTTTTTGCCCCTTTCACTCTTGTACTGCCCCTTTTAACAGCAAAACAATGGCTAATTGTAGAGAGAACTTTCAAAATGTCTTTTGTGCAGTATGACACGGTTAAAATGTCAGAAATCATAGAAAAAAGAAAGTTGCATTTCTTTATTTATTCTATAAAAAAATGTATAAATCTGGAATCAACTTGTACAACATTTTTCAAAGTGCCTACAGGTGTTACCAACACTAGAAAAACTGGCTCTACATACTGGAGATATGTTACTACCTATATTTTTAATTTGTTTTTATACTTGTCTCCTATCTGCTCAGTGTAAACACAGCCTGCAGTTCAGCCTGGCTCAGCAAAATCAATAAAACATGCCTGACTTTTTGTCCTATGACTGTTCATCGCAGCTGAATCAGTCATTGTTCCATAGTGGTGCCAAGGAGAGCAGAATTTTGTGTGTTTTTACAGAAGCTAGTTAGTGCAAATGGATCATCGTGATAAAATGACCAGGAATAAGGACTGGTCCATGATTTAAGAGGCACTCTGGTTAATGTGACCTGGTGCTGAACCTGCCATATATCTGTCACTAGATGTATCCGAGCCTACGGTCCATTGTGATGTTGTGTCGGACAGTTGTCAGTGTAAAGGGAATCTACCTTGGGCCAGTATGTTCCACTGCATCACCCTGATGGGGCTGCTGGGGGCGCCGTCTCCATCACTGAGGTGGATGAGCTTCCTGTGGAAGCGAGGCGGTCGATCCCTGAGGGCCTCCTGACACTGTCGAAGCAGCTCCACGGGATCAGGGGGACACACAGGCGACCCCGTCTGCTCCTGCAAGGCAACGCAACGTTTCATATTTACAGATTCATCTACATGTCATCACATTTTTTTAATATTTAAAAATTTAGTGAGAACAGAAGAGAAAGAGCCACCTGGCAGAAATCTGGATCCAGGTTTGTGTTTGCAGGCTGGTGGGCTGGAGGGAGGGGCAGAGGAGAGCCGGTGCTGCTGAGGGTCTGACTCAGGGTGCTGTACAGCCTGGTGGCTCCTCCTCCCATCGGACACACTGTGAGGAGAAAAAACACACATGATGAGGCGTGTGATAGGAGGGAGAAAATGTACCAGTTGGAGCTGCAGTGTACGAACACACATCTGTATTTTTATGGCAAACATGTCCTCTGGTGAGCAGGTGGTGCCATTTTCAAAATCCTTCCAAATCCCCAGATGATTTATTTACTGAGGATATCACCACCTCAAACGTCACGGCTGCTACGTCATTTGGAGCAGCACAACTGAGGCAAATCCCTGCTTCTTCTTCTTTCTTTTTTTTTTTAACATACCAGATAAAGTGCTCTTGATTTGAGTCCCACAATGACAGCGAGGCTGCAGCTCAAGTCACCTTTTATCCTCCTTCAACAACATCTGTTGGCTCACATGTGAGCTGAATCACTAATGCAAGCTAAAAATAAGACTGTGCTTCCTAATTACTGCTACAGAGTGATGTTGGCAGAGCGGATAATAAATTGTTTGCTACATCAAAGATTGATCTTTCATATATATCAATTTAAACCTGAAAAGGCAACAGATTTTTTGGCCTCGAAAGAGCAACAGAACAATAATATTAATACGTAATACGCTTCCATTTTATCGCAGCATTCTTCATAAAGTTTACTGAGGGATTAAGAAAGGATTATATTAATAAAACAAATATGAATGAGCCAAAATAAAGCTCACACTGAAAAAAATCTATTAAGTTTAAAGAGAACATCAAGAAAACATAAATTGAAAAAAAGCACACAGAACTTAGTCACCAGCTGGATTCTGGGAAAAACCCAAAGATTTTCTTAGATCACGACCAGCTGATCCAAGTTGGCCCAGGGCTCATATGGGGTCAACAAATTCTTGATATAGTGAATTAAAATCAATGTGAAAAACAAGCCGTAAACACTGTGACAGTATAGTTCCATAATACAGCTGCTTATTTACACTCTGACAGACAGGAGCTGCATTGTTATCCATGTGGGGCAGAGGTCTCTAGGGGTCGTAGGATCTCGGATTCATCCTCGAAACTGTACGAGTTCAGACCCACATTTTGTTTGGTCAGTCGGTCGGGTCATGTTGCTTTACTGCTGGCTGCAGGTCTGCTTAACATTTGATTATATGCAGATCTAATGCTGCATTCAAAGTCAGCTCGGACATAAAAATTTTCAAAGTCCGTGTCACTTGTTCGGAAGTACAAAAGGGTCCAATGACGTAAATTCTGTCATCTCTCAAAGAAACGTTCCAAGACACACTTTTCAAATCACAGCAGACATAAATGTTTGTGTCTTTGCACCTTAAAAGCAGCTGTAGATGTTTATAAAGTCTGCAATCCAACTTTAACAAGAAGCATCCCACAAATAGCAGTCAGTCTTTGGCAGACTATCGCTTTTTGACACAACAACAGATCTTGTTGGTTGGGGGATGAATTTATGGGCCTGTAAATACTTCTGATGTGGGGTTTTCTTTGTGTCTGGACACCAGATGAACACACTACCAACATTCCCTCTGTCTTACCTCTGTTCTGATTTCTGTCAACTCTCTTGAGGTAAAGCTGCTGAACGCTACACGATGCTCTACCTCCAACCCCACACATCAATGTTTGACTTTGAAAATCTTACTGTTGTTGTAAGTGGTTGAGGTGAAGCTCATTTTGCACCATCTTGCAATTACCTGCAACTTATGAATAGTTTCATTTTGGATTAGTCTACTGATTACTTCCTCCATTGATCAGGTGACTGCTCGGTCTGTAAAAGTTCTGAAAATAGCGAGAAATTACCAAAATAGTTAGTTTTCTGTCAACTGATTACTCAACTTGTGATTTCAAGTGCACTTATACAAAGTGTTAGTTTGTTTATTAACCTGTAAAATGTCCGATTTTATAAGTTCTTTATATGTTTTGTTTGTAGAATTGTGGATGCAGTAAAAAGCACAATATTTTCCTCTTAGATGCAGTGGAAGGAGCAGAAGCAGAAAGTGGCATCAAAAGAAAAGATGAGTAAAGTGCAAGTACCGCAAAGCTGTACCTAAATACAGTACTTGAGTAAATGTGCTAATTAAATTCAACCACTGCAGCAGTGAGAGTGAATCAAAAACAAAGAGCTAAAAGTGAAAACTGAAGCGTCACAACTGCACTGAGCTGAGCGGAGAGATGGGTTCTAATTATACATGGGTTAGAGTTTACGAGCAACGCCTTGAAGGTTCCATCTGATCCCCCATTAATGCTCATTACATTTTAGTATACAGCAGCTTTAAATGACTTGTATAAACACTCGTACTGCTGGTCTTTTCATTACAACAGCGCTAAAGGGAGGCAACTTTCACTTTTAAATCACAGGTTGCAGAGGCCACACCCTGCTGGATAATAAGCACTGTGGCATGTGTTCGCGCACAAACACACACACAAATACACACAAACACCATCTGCTCCTCTACTTTATACCTCCATGAGTATTTAACATGGTGTCTGTGTTTGACAACTTTGAATTGCAGTAGGTCAAACCAAAGTGGGTCAAACTGATTGGTTGTTGTGCCAACAGACATCAGGTTTGTGCAAATCCAGAAGCTGCAGACACTAATTAATGTTAATTACAGTATTGTTTTAAATGCCATGCTGCAAATGGCATAAACTAGCAGTTTGTTTTTTTTTTCATTTGCAGCACGATAACTGCAAAAAAAAACAACAACTACATCCACATATTATTATTATTACTTAGTTAAGATATGAGCTTAAATTTCCTAAAGGCAGATTCATCTTTTAATCGTTCCAGCGAATTGCTCGTTGAAGAAAATAGCTCTTTTTAAACACGCTCTTCCTCTGTAATCATGTCCTAAAAATGTTGTGCATGCTAATGTGCACACAACTGAGACTGACCTCTGCACTGTCAAACAAATCCTTGGCTCTCCTACACCTGAACTATATGACTATAAAAGGAGATATTAATAGAGTTTGACCACTGGATGTTTAAGATTCATTCCGTCCTCTTGAATGCATGCAAAACCAACTCCAGCGCTCTGAGATCAACCTGAACAGACAGCGTTACTGCTCCAGTCATGCGATGTTATTACAATGACATAAATCCTGGTTTATTCACATGCATGCCACCACAGCCAGTTGTGTTTTAGTAATTAAGCCCCTACACTCTGCTCCACTGCACCATCAGATACGCAAAACTTTAACGCCTTCATTCTCTGATATGATTCTGTAAAATGGCACCAGTCTTGCATTTACATTCGCTGCTAAGCATCCAAACATCCATCCTTTACAATAAGCAAAAAAAAACAGCTGCCTCTTACCCATAGTCTCCATCACTGTCCACTTCAGTAAAATGTCTCCTTGTAATTCTAGCGTCGCCTTAACAGATAAGTTAGCCGTCTGAAGCTGAGCTCAAAGTGTTTTCACTACGTCAGAAAACAGCCACAGATGTGTTGTCTGTGTGTGAATGCAGAAATCTGACTTCTCACTGCTGCCTATAAAGCCTCAGGGGGACGAGAGAGAGGGAGAGAGAGGGAGAGAGAGAGAGAGATTAGGAAGCACAGACGTCACCAGGCCATATGGAGTATTACAGGTCATGTGGTGGTGAGAGAGAAGAGGGATACACTGCGCAATCCAAACCGCTGCTCTCCCTCAGTCTCACACAAGTTGGCTGTGTGGCAGATAAATGACCGACACATTGATTATAGTGACTTGGCAACGCCCTCGCTTCAGCACAGAGCAAAGACATGGACTCCCCTCACAAGTGCACAAAGAAATGGGAGGATCAGAGCAGAGGATAAGCACTTTTAAAATGGAGCAGTATGTTAATAATTTCTATTCTCTCACTACATAACAGTGCACGAAGCATGTGAGCGTTTTGCAACAACAACTTCTCCAGTCTGCGTGTTGTAACGGCGCTCACGTTGCTCTGATTACATTTTTTACAAACATGTCGTCAGTGTTATTTTCCGTGTAATATACTGTAGTTTTCCAAACTCATAAAACTACATTTACTTATATTTTGGGTTGGAGTCAAAGCAGAGAATTTTATCGACTGTATGAATCAAGAAAACTTGCCACACTACTGATTTTAGATTTTGTTTTGAATAAAAGATAAATATTTGAAGCTGTAGCATAACAAAAATGAGCATTTTTACATTTATGAAACTACATTTCAAACAGAGCTCCTGCTGTTTTCTACTAAAACCACATTTTGCCCTCTTTTCAGCACCACACGCTGGTTAACAAGAGTGAATGAGATGTGAAGGCAGCAGCACTGAGAGAGGTGGTGGAGTCTTCATCTATACAATAAGAGAGTTGTTCGATAGAGTGTTTTAAATGCACTGGGCGCAAACCGTCATGCAGATGTGCCTCCACGAGGGGCAATCACTGTCTGTTTTAGCAACCCCTTAATGTGGTCCGGTTTCATTCTGAGAGACGCGGTGTTGCGTCGCCTTCCTCTTTTGCATACAGTTGGTGTCTAAGCTACTTTATGGAAATCTGCAGCATTCTGAAAAACTTTTAAACTAACTGATCTTAAATGAAGAGAGATTCAACAGCCTATTTCACGCCTCGTTGTCCAATCAAGGGCTGCCAATATCTGCACAACTGTAGGAGGGTGAAGCCTGTTGAACACCGCCTGTCAGTCATCTATTGTCATACTGTCGAGCTGTACGTCCATCAAACGTGGAGGCAGCACGATGCCTGGTGTCTAAAAACTCTCCTGTAGACAGAAACCATAAAGGCTATGCATAGCAGCAGCCAATCCGCCATGCGTCCTGTCAGAGAGTGTAAAAGACACATGCTGCGTTCCAATACTATGATAATAATATGAGTATAGTATACTATAAAACATGTAGTGTGTTCCACTACATCATATGTAAAATGTTGTAAGCCAGAAGTCTTGTTTTGTGCCTTATCGTGTGCTCAGAATCATTAACAATCTTAGTTATGACTCTTGGCTTTTGTGTGCCACCCCAAGCTTTTCAGAGGCCATCTTTAAAAAACAAAAATGCAAAGTTCAGTTCCGTAAACAAACTCCAGGTCTGGTTCACGAGCGCCCCTCCATCCACCTCACCTGGGGGAGACTGTGGCCAGCGGGTACTGGCATTTGTTCTTGCAAAAACACCTACAACTCCGTGTCCTTCATCACCTCCACCTAAGTGACGCATCCCTGGCGGCCTGCTTCAGTGGTTGACAGACTTTATTTTAGGATGCAAGCAGAGGCCTGAGCAGGATCCCGGCGCTAATCGACCCATGCCAGCCACTCTAAACTTTATGCAGTGCAGCGGCTTTACACCGATGGCTCTCCTTCATGTTTTACTTGCTTTCTTTATTTTACACATATGAAGGTAAGATCAACAGAATGCTAATAAAGACCAGCACATCAACACAAACGGGGATGAGAGACCACGCTGGATCAACAGGAAGAATCATCATCAGTATTCTGGAGGAGCTCCTTGCCACAGCTCCCTGTTCTGCTATGAATATAAAGAAGACAAATTGCTGCACTTGGAGATACTTAAAGGATCCCATGCTTTATGAGCAGCGAGAAAGTCACATCAATCCCCCATCTGTAAATCCTCTCAATCCAGCTGAATAGAGTCAAGGAGTGTTTTCCTTTTCCACACCGTTGATTTGACGTCAGTGTGCTGACGTACCGATCGGACAGCTCCGTGATAAAAAACTAAAAACTCTGCAGACCTGTAGGGGGTGACTCATATCTGTTAGCTCAAGACTTGGACTTTATCACAAGTGATATACGATTTCTACAGCACGGAGGTCATTTTGAAAGCGGCAGAACCACAAACGACTGACTGAGCATTCGCTGACAATGTGTGTGCACGCTACCGTGACTCACATCCTGTAGACAAAACTCTTGTGGCTCCGGGGCAGAATAATTTATTGTGGTGGTGTGATCGGGCGCACTGGGATGTGTGCAGGGGATGTGATTGTGTGTAAATGTATGTGTACAGTATGTATGAGGGAGAGAGAGGCTGTCACTGTATCCTTTAGTGGCACACTGACATTTCCACATCGAAGGTCAGCTGCTTCATTACATTACAATACGTGAGTGGGTTTTTGTCCGTCAGAGCAGCTGAAACAGCTTCACTGCGTCTATTTGTGACACGTCTTTTCCTTCTCGTGCTACTGTATACCACAAATCATTACATATGTTTGACAGATTTTTCCTGATTTGCCAATTTAGTAATCACGAGTAAAATTACAGCGTAAGTTCTAATTTAAGCACCACTCCTTAAAAAAACAGGCCAAAAGTTTAAATGATGATGATGACATGAACGTATCTTTAATTTTACAAGTTGTGTTTAGTTTTTATTTGTCATATGCACAAAATGGGGCTTCAAGGTTCAAGGAGCGATTAATAAAAGGTTAACCTAAGCTAATAAGAAGCTTATCAAACTGCCCAAAGAACTAATAGTTTGTTTATGATTTCTGTTAATGGGTGATGGTATTTTTTTTTTAACAACAGCAGTCTAAAGTACCACAAAATGTGCTTTCATTGTTGCTTGGCTACCTGCTGCCATATGTTGGTACTCACTTTAATCATTAGGTGTAGGAATTCTACATATCAGCTGGTTATAGGAAGGATTCGTCTACATAACATCCTGCTGTGAGACTGTGAAAGTAAAATATCTAACTTGATACGACTGGGAAAATATTTTAGAAAACAGACTTCTGCAGAAGACTGTATCCTGACAGCTTTGATGGAACTTATGAATCCTCATATGAAGCCTGCAAACAGCTGGAAGCAACAAACTAAACTTTAGCTCCTGTTAATGTTTTGTTAAAACCTGGGTGACACACATTATCGGTGATCTGAGCTGTTCCATCTTTATCATAGTAATGATTTATTTTTATGGGAATTCAGGTTTAAATAAAAGTGGGCATACTGACTTACGCAAAACTTAACATACACGAAAGACATCTGTGCTGCCGGATTTTCAGTTGTATGTTTTTTTTCTTTACAGTGTACCGACTGCATCCTAACATCCAACGACAATGCTGACATTTAACATGTAATGTTCACCATCTTAGCTTAGCATGGTGGTGGGCTAACGTTTGCTGCACAACACTAAACACAAACTACAACTGAGGTTGACGGTCAACAAACCGCGCTCTTGGACGTTATTATTACAAATCTGGCCTGAAAATGTGGCTCAGGTGGTAGAATGAGTAAATGATCGGAAGGTCGGCGGTTCGATTCCACCTTGTAACCTGTGTCATGGTCGTTGTGTCCTTAGGCGAGACACTTCAGCCACCTTGCCTGGTGTGAATGTGTATGAATGGATTGATTGAGGTGGTGGTCAGCTGTGGCTACAACTGTAGTTACCACCACCAGAATGAATGTGTGTGAATGAATAATTGACAGTGTAAAGTGTCTTTGAGTGTCTAGAAAAGCGCTTTATAAATCTGATCAATCATTACTATTATTGAATGACAAGAAACACCAAAGTGATAACAATTGATCTGGAGGAGACATGAAGTCTAAACCACATTTTCTGACAACCAGTCCAATAACTTGTTGGCATATTTCAGCCAAAGCTGTGAACTAGCATGAAGTAGTTAGTTAAGTTTGGTTGTTTACGTCAGACAGTGTAAGTCAAGGCTGTGAGTGAAACGTAACCTGAATCATATCCAACGGTCCACTTAAAAATCCATTAAAGCAGGTTCATTAAATGTAAGAATCTTTATCGTAAAGAGCCAGAACATGTTGTGAGGTCTGGCAGTCACACGTGTGCAAACTTACAGGCAAATACATCGGTGTGATATTTTGTGGAGCCTAACCTGAACATCACGTTGTGGTGTTAAATTGCTGCTTTACTCTTTGACCTTAAGACCAGCAGCTTCCCTCGACTGCACAGCTGAGCGAACGCAAACTACGACATTCTGAAAAAAGCGCCGCTCATCAGTGACGGTAAAGACGCTGCCGACTTGTTTTGTTTGTGAGCGATGTGACCCACTTCTGCCTGTTCTGATCACACACTGCGTCTTTTATTTCGAGAGTCCAAAAAGCAATTAGCTCGCAGAGTTACCCACACTGGTTTGTCTTTATTTTAGTTTGTGGTAAAAGTGGCATTTGTTTACTTGCTTGAAACAATATGCGAGAATATAGAGATTCACTTTAACTATCAGTAAAAGCACTGGGCCTCTTCTAAGCATCAGAATATGGGATCAGTACCTGCCATCCCTCCCAAACTGAAGTCTTTAAACTTCTTCTTGGTCTCCTTTTGTAGTGTTGCAGGTTAGAACAACAACTTTTCCATTATTAAATAACATAGCATTAACTATGCTTTTGTACTGACAACACAGTCTATTCCCAACAAATCTTCAAAGCACCAGACTGTGTAAAAGTAAAGGTAGCAGAACGTCATTTTTAAAAGGTATGAGATTCTTTAGCTGTTCTTTTAGTTTTAATGACACTATGAAGGGGACTTTCAGCTTCGAGAGGAAGATGTCCAAATCCTGGAGAGCCTGAATGGTTTTGTGTCTTTGCATATTTTGTCTGAACACTCAGGTCTGGACTTGGTACTACGACTACGAAACTTGTCATGACTCAAAACAAGACAAAGTAAACTGGACTTCATCCGGTACAAAACTTGTGTCTACAAAATGACAACTTTTCAGATCTTTCACCAAAGCCGTTTCGAGGTCAGTTGACTGCGCGAAAGAAAACATTAAGAAATTAAATTAGGTTTGTCCAACTTTAGAGCAACACATGTCCTCAGGCTGAACTTAAGTGGCAGTCATCAAGAAAATTTTCTCATGACAACAGCAACAAAACGTGCTGTACAAACTGGCAGTTGTGGTGCAACATCTTGGAACAGAACGGTTTGTGTTTTGACATCAACCACATGCAAACATAACCCTGATGTAGGAGATCAGCAGATAGTCAGAGAGAAACCGAATGCTAAAGATAGCATACAGTTTCAAATACAGACTGACCATGAAGCTAACGATTCTGTAGCTGCTGGTTCAGAGCAAAGTTTGTCTTGTTTTCATACCTTCTCTGCTGGAATGAACTGGTGGTTTTCTCTCAACGCCAACTCTCCAGCGGCTGCAGTCTGTTGTTCCACGCTTTTACTTGACCAGTGTTTAGTCCTGTGACACAGAAAGACGCAGCGTGCCTCTACATGCATGTGTCTGTGTGCTTTTGTTCAGAGGGAAGTAGCAGTGGGTGGTTGTTTGACCCTCCTGCTGCAGGGCAAGGTCACAGCAGACAGAAACCTGGTCCCTTCTGCCATCTGCTGGTGGGGAAGAAGTGTCTTTCATTGCCACACTTCATGCAGGGACGTCTGTAAAGAAAGAAAAATAAGGTTGTTTTAAACTTTCATTTTAGTTTGTCACAGTAATTTGGTTTGTTTTGCTAAAGTTACAGCATTGAAGAAGAAAAAATCTCCAAGCCACGGCATTCCTTTGGTTAAAATGTTTTGTTTTACATCGACATGGCCCAGCTGGACTATTAAAGATGCCCACATGTATTGGCCGGTACCTTTATCAGGACATAGACAATCAATTAGTCAGAAGCACAGGTGTTTATGAGCAGTCAAACAAGAGCTGCACCAACCATGCTAGACCCCACTTCCTGAGGAATTTAATATCCTGGACAGTCTAGTTAATTGATTCTGCATCTCTTAACTACACACAAATTTCAAAAAACACAAGTAACAACAAAAAGAAAAAAGGAATTCAACATATCGCCAAAGTAACAAATATACAGAATATCAAACTGTCATCATAGTGCTGGTTACACACATATATTTTTAAAGATGAAATAAACAACACAACTAACAATAACAACAACAAAAAGTCTAAACTCTATTGTCTCATTAAGACTTTGGTATTTTACTGCTTTTGGTTTTTTGTCTTTTATGATCATTTTCACCAAACTAGTGAAAACTTTACATGTCCCCAATATGTTTTTTTTTCCATTTTTCACACCAAAATGCTGCAAAGATTGTTCATTTCACCATGACTGTATAGATCCTGGGGTAAGTCTTGTTCTAAACAGCTGTTTCAGGAGCTCTGAATTCAGCTGAGCTGCTGCTGAGCTCATCCCCCTTCAGAAAGAAGAGTCTCTCTGCACCTGTGATCGACAGCACAGAGCAAAACAACTGAACAGCTGACAAATGTAAATGAGTTTACGAGACTTTCTGTCGTTTCTTACTTTCTGCCAGGGCGCTCATTTCACATGGAAGTATCGCCGAAAACACATAGCACAAATGTTGTTTTTAAATTATATGTTTGGTAATTTTGTCACACAACGTTGTGGGTAAATCAGTGTTTTAGCTGCAGAGCAACAGTTTGGCTCTAAAATGACTGCTGGTTAACATGTAGTCTTAATGGGCTGCGTTTCAGTCACCATTTCATACGTTTTCCATTGTCTGACAACAGAAAAATATGTAAATGAGAAGAGCTTTCTTGGACATTTAGCTGTAAAAAAAAAACAAAAAACGTAGTATATGTGAACACAGAAAGCAGGAGAGATGCAAACCAGCTGAGCTTAATTTGCACTGAAGCACAACAGATGGCGTGAAAACAGTAGCCCACACAGTCCTTGATTATTGGTTTCGAATCAGTCTAAAGGTTTTTCCATCTCTGAATGTCCCTCAGCATGACAGTTTCCACAGAGCTCTGACCTGTGAACGCATCACCAGTGCTAGTGGTAGCATTAGAACGCTCAAAATTAGTGAAAATTGTCGGAAAATATTGTCCTTTCCTCAGCCTCAGTGTGCATTACAGTGAACACAGACCTCCACTGGGGCCTCTGATTGAATGCATGCTTGCACACCCATGTTCTTTCCACTCATCATATCCTGGCCTACAAGGTGCTTTCTGTCATCAGGACCATACTTCTGCAGCATTCTGTGAAAGTGATGCAACATCCAAACACTCTGCTGCTTCTAAGTTTAGGAAACGTTCACATATTGATCCATTATAGTATTATCGGTTTACAAAGGACATCTGTTCTTTTTTGCTAACGTCTTTGGTCTCACCAACCAAAATGCTGAAAGGCTGATTTTGTGCAGCTTCACTGATAACTGAGGTGCGGACCGTTTCAGTCAGACAGTCAGTTATTTCATGTTGAGTACTATGCACAAGGTATGTTGCATTTCTCTGATTTGTCATGTTTTGCTTGACTATGGGATCATGCTTGGCGAGCAGTTCCATGATAGAGAGCAAATCTCCTTTGTTATCACCTTGGCTTTGTTAATGAGCTCTTTGTGCAGTGTTTTGTGTCGCTGGAAGGAGCAGGTTTCTGCAACAGTTTTGATGTACTCTCTATTTTCGGTAACTATTTTATTGTATTCTGCATTGAAAGAGACTGAGAGAGAGTATTTGCCTGCAATTTCAAAGTCTGCCCATGCGAACAGAGCATTTATGTGTGACTCTGATTCTGCATGGCTTACAAACCCGCCATCTTGATCAGCGGCCTTTTTCCAATTTTTGAACCCTTCTTCAGAAGTAAACACTGAATCAGTGGACGATGGGAGACTGAAGTGACGGCAGACATCGTAGGAGGCAGAGTTTTTACCCTGAGAGTATTCTAGCCATTTGTGTGCACTGTACCGCTCTCTGTTGAAGCCTCGTCTTCTGTCCCCTTGAAGAGTCTGAGGGAAAACCTGGAGTTGGGCCTCTGTGCTCTTGACTGGGAGACATCTGTGATAAAACATGAGGTAAATAAGTGATTCTGGTTTTTAAATAGCAGCAGCAAAACAACAATAATCAGCAAATCCCAATGAGACTATTGAAGCTCAGCTACCAGTTGAATGAGAAGCTTCCCGTTGTTGTGCCAGGATTCATCAGTCAGTGTTGACACCTTATTAAGATAAGATAAGATAAGATAAGATAAGATAAGATAAGATAAAATAAGATAAGATATGCCTTTATTTATCTCACAGTGGAGAAATTCACGTTGTTGGTAGCAGCATTAAACAGAGATACACATATACGAGAGAAAAAAAATAAAAAAATGTACATATAAATATAAGAAATAGTGCACATTTCTCCAGGTAAAGCTCCTGTCTTGTCAGGGAGACACTGTTAGAGGCCAGCTCCTGGTCCAGCAGCAGCTTGACCAGCTGTGTCCTGCCTCTCTTGCTACTCAGCCTCTGGGATACCTGCTGGTTCTGGTTCTTCCCTGTGCTCCGGTTCTGCCTCTACCTGCTCCTCAGTGTGTTCATCGGTTTGCTCAGCGATGTTTTTTCGGACTGCATCACAATCACCTAACATCTGCTGCGTCTCCCCTGCAGCACTTTTGCTCTGAAAGAAAGACGAGATGTCCGCGGGCTTCCTCCTCATTGTCTGCAGGCTGCCGTAGCGCCGCTGCAGTCCTGACTCTGGACTCGCAGCCCATAAATGAGCTAATCTGATGCTCACTAACGTGTGGCTGGACAGAAACAACAGTTAACAAACATCTGCAATGCGTTCTCAAAGGAAGTACTGCTGGACTTACTGACCTGTTGCTTGTTGAAATGACTTCTGCTCTCTCTCTCTCTGTTTGTGCCTCAGCGCCGATCAGCGGCTGCTACGGTGCTGCCTTCACTTGCACTCGGACAACGTAGATGCGATTTTGGAAACGTTCAAAAATATGAACATGTTTCAGGGGTGGCTGTAGAGGGCCGCAAGATAAGATAACAGCTTAAAGATTTTTTCCCCCAACATGTTAAACTGGTGTGAAACCGACAAACAGCAGCAGGAGGAAGAGGAGGAGGAGGAGGAGGAGGAGCGACACCGACGAAAGTGAAAGTTTGTCAAAGCGACGGCGGAGCAGCAGTCCAGAGTAATCCGTGTGTTTGTGTCTGAACTAAATTCAGCTGCTGTTCCTCAACAAGTGGCTCAGATTCTGGTGAGTACAGCCGACAGGACGTCTGATAGTTTGTTAGTGGATTCAATCCAAAGAGGCAGAAAGCAGCAAATCCCACAGTTTCCTCGTTTCTAACTGCGACACGACCAAGGTTTCCTCGAAACTGCGCGCTTACGCAATCGCGCACAAGAAAATCTATGCAGCAAATCCAACAAACTGTAAATTAACTAGACCAAATAGCATTTTTTTGTGTGTACTATTTTTCAATGCAACTCAGTGAGTGATTGGTGTCCAGACAATGATACGATACGGTTCACTTACGCTACGCAGCCAATCATGACATTGACAGTGCATGTGCACGTGTCCTGCCCCTACGCGCCGTGCAGGGTAGCTGGGTAACAACATTTTATGTCTGAAAGGTGTCTAATTTCTCCCAGAGCAGGACCCTCACCCAGGCCAAAGCAGGACTCTCACATATAACATACAACACATCTCATGAACGACAAGATTTTTGCCATTTTCATTTTAAGTTGGCCAGATCACTTGTATTAAAAGTAAAATCATGGAAATTGCTGCTGTAATTTGATTCTTTAAATAAGCCACGAAACTTGCTATGATCCCAGGTTTTGAATAGGTGTGATACTGGTGTGTGGCCACAGCGTGCACATCTGATGTTGCTCACAGTGGTCCTCAGTGTACTCAGGGAGCTTGTGTGTATGCCCAGACACATGAGAAATTAGAGGGAACATTGGTCACAACGACAAACCTGACTGGGTGTGGGGGGTCCGTATTTGGTTGTTGCTGTTTTTCTTTGATTTTTAAACCAAAACTAAATCTTGTGGTCTGTGTGTTTCCGGCTTGCACGTGAAAAACAACTAAACTAAATTCAAATGATGTCTAGTTTTGATTTTGCGGATTTCTTTTTTTTTTTCTCATTTGGTGTCGACAGCAGAACTGTGGACAGACAGGCAGCAGAAATGAAATGTAAAAAGTACAAATAAGAACGAAAAGAACAGAATGAGCGTTCTATAGCAGGACTCTGATCCAGAAGTTGGTTTAGAGTGAAAACTCTGAGTTTGTTACTCTGAGATGAAGGAAACAGTTTTGTGGTCCAGGAAGAGGATGCGGGTACCATGGTAACAGACTGTGGACATCACCTGGTCTCCTTCAACAGACTCTTACTGTCTCTCTGACTCCTGCTGAGCCTGAAGCATCTGTCTGACTCAGCGTTTCTACCTGTCACTCAATCATTTCTATCACGAGTTGATTCTGACAAGTTTTTACATCCAGAATCACCTTCATTGATCATTTGTGGGTTTTCTTCTTCAGACTCACCACAGCTGTTGTGTTTCAGAGGTTGGCTGATGTGATCATGGTGCAGGTTTTATAAAGGATGGAGATGTGGTTCATGTGAACATGAGGAGGAATCACAGCAACGTGTGAACATTAAAGTTCAGGTCAGACTTTACTGTAGCTCTGCTCTCGATGTTTCCTCCACAGATGAAGGCAGAACGTCTCTGGAGCTGATGTGGATTCAGCAGCATCAAGGTAACGTGATTGACTTTGGACTATTGCAGCAGCTGCCACTGCAGCCTCTGACTGGATATAGTGGACTTGGACAAAGAGAAACATGTCAGATGTTGGAGAGCTTTTCAGTTTTGTAGATTGAGTGTTGAGGTGAAGCAGCTGTCCCAGAGCTTGATAGGTTTCCTCCAATCAGAGCTGTGTGTGTTTGTCATGTGACTGAGAGGAAGCAGGAGGACTAATGTGTGACTCTCCCAGCAGGTTG